GCCCCCCCGTCCCGAGTTTGAGAATAAGGGATGAGGGGTAGCTAGGTAGCACAGTGGACAAAGCACCAGCCTTGGAGTCAGGAGGACCTGAGGTCAAATTCAGCCTCAGACACTTACTAGCTGTGTGGCCTGGGCAAGTCACTTAACCCTGATTGCCTCCAGAAAAGAGAGAAAGAGAGGGAGAGAGAGAGAGAGAGAGAGAGAGAATGAGAATAAGGGGTGAAAGCAATGACACAGTAGCAGCTTATACACAGAAGGCTCTTCTCAGGGGTAATACATTCAGCTGGGATAGAGAGAGATGGAACAGTTACAGGGCAAATACAAAGTCCTTCCCTTTGAGGATTTAGTGGACTGTAGGAAACTGAGGAGAAATATCCCAAGACTCTAGAGCTATACCAGGGCTCAAGAGCAACTGGGCAAAGGGCCCTATGAGGTGGAGAGTTTTGTTTTATGACCTTCTCTCCATAGAGACCCCCTGCATCACCCCATTATTTCCTTTGTGTATCTGGATCTTACCCATAAATCCCAAAGGGCCAGAAAGTCCACCTCCCAGGGTAGGCTATAAGATGGAGATAAAAAGGATATTTCATCTTTTCCCATCACGGGGAATGAGGGTATCCCTCTCCTCCCCCACTCCACAATGCAGAAGGAGACACAGCACATTCTCCGCATGCTAGTCATATGTCTAGGCACGCAAGTTCATAGCTTCGGGGCTTCCCAGTGGGGGCTAGGCTTCCTCTTTCTGAGCCTCAGTTCCTTCACAAATGTTAAACAGTAATGTGGATCAGTTCACACAAGTCTTTCCACATCTCTTTAAAACTGACTTTTCCCTAATTTCTTACAGAACAACAATATCCCATTACATTCCAACGTCTATCAGAATTTGTTCAGCTGTTCCCCAATTGATGGACATCTCCTTTTGTTTCCATTTCTTGTCATCACAAAAAGAGCTGCTATAAATATATTTGTATGTACAGGACCTTTTCCTTTTTCTTTGATTTCTTCGAGGCACAAGCAGGGGTATGCTGATGCTAGCCTGTAACTGCTCACAAGGGCCAATTGTTAGATTTCCAGCGTGAGCATTTGCATCTCTGAAATCAGCAAACACTGCAAAGCAGGCTTTGGTTTGTTTTGTTGATTGTTTTATACTTTAAAAAGTGATGGAGAAAACGTGAATAAATCAGATGAAACTTAAAAATATGCGGCAGGCACATTTTTTCAGGAGAGCAGGTTGATAAGCATTTATAAAAATACTCCCCAGAATATCGACCTAGCATTGGTATCACTGAGTCAGTTAAAGGGCATGCACAGCTCAGTAACTTTTGTGCATCATTCCAAATCGCTTTCTAGAATGGTTAGACCAATCACTCTCAGCTCCACCAATAAGGGTTGGGGGGAGGGAGACTAGAGCTAGCTCTTCAAGCTTCTGGAGAGCATTCAAAATGCCAATAGGAGAATCCCCCTGGCATTCCTTCAGTGCAAGGCAGCTGGTATGGGGGAAGTACAGGTAGAACTGTCCAGGAAATTCATGCTCACTCCAAATTTCGAGATACATCAAATTCAGCTGCTATGATTGCTTCTGGAGGCAGTTGTGATACAATGGGAAGATCACATAATTTGGAGTCAGGAGAGCAGGGTTTAAATCCTGACTGTTCCACTTACTGGCTACATGACCTCGGGACACTCATACTTCACTTACTTCTCAGCCTTGGATTTCCCACCTGTAAAATGGGGACAATAATGCTTGCTATCTACCTTGGAACTGTTGTGAGAGGACAAACGAAAAAAAAAATATGTAAAACACTTTGTAAGCCCTAAAGTGCTATCGAAATATAAATTATTATTACCGCTCTGAATTTTGGTGACATGCTTCTCAATTCCTTTCATCCTGGTGGCTCCTGCCACCACTGCTAATTGTACCCTTTCTCAAATTTCTCCAATCTTGAATCTCAAACCACATCTCCCTTTACCCCTTCATCTAAGTGATTTACACCCAATTCTTTCTAGACACGGGGACATTAATCCTAAATCTCTAGGGCTTGGCAGTAGGTGCCAGTGGAAGTTGGAATGGATAGGGAATCAATACATGAGAATTCTCTTTCCCCAGACATCGGATCTCTTCTTTACAATCTCATTCTTCTGTTGGTTTAACATACATCCCTCTGTCCCAGGGAAACAGATTTCTCTAGAGGTGGCCACCTGATCCTGGGTCCTCTGGTAGAGTCATGCATCTAGAGGTGAGCAAATCCCTTCTCTCAAAGGCTCGGATTTTCCACCTGTAAAATGGGAACAATAATACTTGCTATCTACCTCCTCTCTTAGTCTCAGTTTCCTGACCTATAAAACAAGAGGATTTGACAAGATGACCCCTAAGGTCCCCTCCAGTTCTAAATCTGTGATACTATAAATTTGGAAAAGGAACAGCTGCCTCTTTAAGATGAGCTCTTTCTGAGAGACCAAGGGATTATATCCTATGAACAGCTTATGGGAGGAGGGGTAGGAGAACACACAAATAAATACAGGTCAAACTCTGTTACAGTAAGCTCAAGGGCATAGTCTCAATTCTCTGATCACAACAAAGTCCTCTTGGTAGTGATCGGATTTGAATAAGGAGGCCATTAACCATTAGTCAGAGCTTCTGGGATCTTTTGAGGCTCAGAGTTTGCCATTGCATCGGTTATCAGTCACAACGGGATCAAATCCGCAGGAGCCTTACTGAGGGTAGATGTCCAATCGTCCCATTTCCCTTCAGCTCAAACCACTCCCCTTTCCTCCTGTCTCCTTCTCCCCTCAATTCCATAACATGTGACAAGTTGTCACATCTGGGAGACCAGAAACCTCAGAGTTATTTGGGGACATCTTCTGAATCCTGAAACTTTGAGGTGAAGCGTTTACCTCCATGCATTTAACAATATCTGGCCTCTTCTCTATTTCCTAAGAACCTACGGCTCATCTGGTAGAAATTAGGTTTAGACTAATTTATTACACCATATTACACAATAAATTCAAAATAGATATGTGACTGAATATTAAAGATCATATCATTAAAATCAGCATGTGTGTTTCATAGGTTTGGGTAGGGGAAGAATTTTTACTCAAACAAGGGATGGCAGCAATTAAATAAACTAAAATAGACAATTTTGATCAAATAAAATGGAAAAGCTTTTGTACAAGCAAAACTAGCATCTAGGATAAGATGTAGGAAGAGACCAACTGGGAAAAATATTTGCACCAACAACTCTGATAAGAGTTTGATATCCATTTTACATAATAAAAAGACTTAAGTCCAAAAGCTATTTCCTGATAGATAAGTGGTCAAATGATATGAACAAACTCCAAAATAATTACAACCTATTAACAACCATATGAAAGAATGCTCCAAATTACAAATAATAAAAGGTGTACAATAATAACAATAACTCAGATGTTTAACTCCATACCCAGAAAATTGGCTAAGATGAGAAAAGCTGGGAATAGTCAATGGAAGGGTTATGGAAAGGTAGGCATATCAATGCATTGTGGGGAGAGTCATGAATTGGTACAAACACTCTGGAAAACTATTTGGTATTATGCAAATAAAGTGCCTAAATGTCCATATCTTGCACCAGAGATTCCACTGCTAGGAATATATTCCCTATGGAAGAAATGACTGGGGAACTAAATAAATTGTGGATCATGAACATAACAATATTATTACTATCTTGTAATAGACATGATGAATATTGACAAGTTGGGAAAGACTTACACAAACTGACGCAAAGTGAAATAAGCAGTTAAGAAAACAACATACAAAAGGAGGACAAAAAAATGTAAATAGAAAGAACCACCACCTTAAAACAAATGAAACTGAATGCTGCAAAATTATAGAGAGCAAAATTGAGCTCAAAGAAGAAATATGAGAAAACATCTCCTTCCCCTCCTTTGCAAAGTTGGGGTCCACACACATAGAACATTGTATGCCATTTTTTTCTATGTTGATCAGATTTGTTGAATTCTCCACCCCACCCTCTGCCCCGGCTTTTTCCTCTTAAAAAAAAAAAGTTTTTGTTATAAAGAGATTGCTCTCTGGGAGAGGAAGAGAAGAAATACACAGAGGAAAGTAAGCAATGTAAAAACAAAAAGACAACAGTAAAATCTATTTCTTTTAAAGAAGGCTGTTGCTCAAATCAGTCACCCTGAGGCCCTTGACTTAGGAATACACCCAGAAAACACTAAAACAGAGGTTCCTAACCTTTTTTTATGTCACAGACCTCTTTGGCAATCTGATAGAGACCCCTTTCTCAGAATCATGTTTTTAAAAGAATAAAATATAATACGTAGGATTGTAAAGGATACTGATTATATTGATATAGTTACATATATATGTATGTGTATATACATACATATTTACTTACATACACATATACACATTCATACACACACATACACTCACGTAAACTTCATGGACCCCTGGTTAAAAACCCCTGCCATAGATGCTAGATAAACATCCTGCTCTTTAAAGACCCTATTAACATCCTAAACTGAGTAAGAAGACGCTTTTTTTTGGTGAGAGAACCAGAATTTCTTTGATCTCTTCATAGTTTCAAGGTCTGACACTTGAAGGAAAAAAGAAAAAGAGTTTAGAAAGTGATGTGAGTTGGCCACAGACAAAGGCCCCTTAAGAGAGCAGTAAAGGGACCGCTTCAGGCACTTCTGAAAATAAGTGCAATTAGATCCTTCTTTAGGCAATGTCTGGGGCCTTTTCTACCCCACAGAGTCTACTCAATTAAAATAGTTCCCTTATCACTCCTGTTCCTGTCTTCTTTGTTGGACCTGAGGATAGGCCTTTACTCCATGCTCATGGAAAGGGAAACTCAAGCAAAAACTGAAAAAGGCACACAGTGCACACCCCTATGTTGGGAACCCAAAGCAGACCTTGGCAAACTAACTCTAGGATCTGTTTTGTCTTCACTGTCTTCACAACAGCACAACAGTGGTAATGCCCATCCCAATATCCTTACCAGTTCATCAATCCCTGAGAAGGTGTGGTTGGCATTATCCAAGGAATAGATCAATTGGTATACTCCATCATTGGTTTCACTGTTTCCATAGAAACCGACTCCCACTGCGGCGCTATGCATAAGAACAAAAAAAAAAGTTAGAGGTAAGGGGAAGGAGAGAAGAAAGAAGAGAACCTGATTCTGATGTCAGCTAGAGACCCTATCCCCTCTACTCTGCCCCCATAATGGTGAAGGTTTTGGCCAGGTCCAAATGGACAGCCAGGAGAAGGGAAGCACAAACTTAGGTGCCAACAATTATTTTTCAACCCAGTAAACTTTCTATATTAGACATTTTCATTTCCTTCTTTTGCATAGGTCCTTTAAAATAAATAAGAGTTCATTAGGGATTTCCCTAAGCAGCCACACTAATTTCTTTTCATGCCTCCCTCACTGGGATTATCCTTTATTAGAATGTCACTGTTTCACCTTTTAAGATTCCCATACCTCCCATCCCATTTCCCCCCACTGGTCAAAATTTTGATACATTTCAGAGTTGAAAGGGACTTTAAAGGTTGATTCCCAATGCAGTTGATTCCCCTCCTTACAACATCCCCGGAAGGACAACCAGCCTTTGCTTGAATACTGTGAGTGATGAAGAATTTGCCCTTTCATAAGCCAGCACCATTGTTGGACAAGTTCTGTTAGAATGGTCTTCAATACACAGAGCCAAAACACTTCAAACTTCCACTCACTGTTTCTAGTTCTGCCTTCTGGGTCCAAGTAGCATTAAGTCTAATCTCTCTTTTAGATGGCAGCCTTCAAATATCTGAAGACAGATTCCACATGCCCCTAAACCCTGGGTAATTGTGGGACAAACCACTTTTCCTCTCTGGTTCCACTTCCTCACATGTAAAATGCTGAGGTTGGACTAGAATAATCTCAAAGGTCCCTTCAAATTGTGGAGTTGGGATTGAAACCCAGGTCACATACTCCTAGTCCAACATTCTTTTTGCTGTACCAAGTCACTTTCTTGATGCTTATCACCAAAGGGCAACTAGATGGCACAGCTAATAATTTTGGATTTGGAATCAGAAACACCTGAACTCAAATCTCACTTCAGGCACTTACTATGTGGCCCTGATCAAGTCATTTAACTTTGATTTTGCCTCAGTTTCCTTATTTGTGAAATGAAGATAATAACAGCACCTACCTCTCAGGGGTGTTGCGAGTATCAGATGAGATATTATTTGTAAAGTGCTTTGGAAACCTTAATGCACAATATTGAAGAGGTTAGGGGTGCCGAGATCCTAAGAATGCCAAGGCAGAGTTGCCTGGAACAAATTCACATACTCAAGCCTTCTCTTAGTCAAGTGGCAAACTGAGAAATTGGGAGGCTTCCAGAGACATAATCTTAGGCTGGGGCCCAAGCACCCCATCATTGTTCCCCCCAGTTATTATTATTGTTAAAGAGGATAATATTTCTTGATACGAATACTTAAGGGCAGCAGATATTCTTAAAAGGAATTAAAAAATCATAAATATGGTATCCCATTCCCTATTACCAGTAAATGTGGGGTGCTTCATTAACCTTTTAGAAAAAACCTCTGCAGATGCTAACTGACCCACAAAGAAAAACTCACAGAAGACACAGATGCAGAGGGTTCTCCTACTGTCCAATAGTGAAAGGGATGGGGAGGCAGGGTATTCAGCATTAAAATCTCAAATTTCTACCCTTCCTTCCAAAACATCTTGAAAGAACTGACTAATGCATTAAAAGGTATTGATCCACTCTGAAGACGGAATTGATTCTGGGCTAGAATCTGGCTTTGTCCTGATTCCACTGTCCAAAAACAGCATTCAGAAGAAAGAAAAGGGAATATATAGGGGCAGAGGTCAGAAAAGCACCTAACTCCTGGATAGCTGGCCAGTGAATATGTTCAGTGTAGTGCCAGACTGATTATTTAGGGAGCCTTTGCTGGTGGTTTTTGCTTAGGGTTGACAAAATCCAAGCCAGCTGTGGAATGACCCACCCTTCCTGATTAAAGAAGGCCAATCTTCATTCTACTCCCAGTTGACTTTCTGGACTTTGTCCTTTATTGAATTTCTCAATTTTAACACTACTCCTCAGCTGCAATCTCACCCTGAAATTTTCCTCCTCACCTTGGAACATTCACTTGTTCCCCCTGTGGCATTCTCAACCCAAGACATTCCTCTGCTATGCCAGCTCATATTCCCTTCTCCCATTGGAGAGCTCCTCCGGGGGCCTCCACTTTTGGAAAGGGTCCAGGCTGGCCAACCTTCATCCCCCCCCCCACCCCTGCTTCCTGGATTTCAACACCAAACCTGGGGCTTCCTTCCCCTCTACCCACTCCCTTTTCAGCTCCCTTTCTCCATTAAAATGTACACTCCTTGAGGGCAGACACTGGTTTTCTTTTTGCTCATTTTTTTTTTGGCTAAGCAATGGGGTTAAGTGACTTGCCCAAGGTCACACAGCTAGTAAGCGTCAAGTGTCTGAGGCCAGATTTGAACTCTGATCCTCCTGACTCCAGGGCCAGTGTTCTATCCACTATACCACCTAGCTGCCCCTTTGCTCACATTTCTACCTGGCACAAGATATGCATTTAATAAATGTTTGTTGACTGATTACTAAAATCATCTTGTTGTTGTTCAGTTGTTTCAGTTGTGTCCAACTCTCTGTGACCCCATTTGGGGTTTTCTTGGCAAAGATACTGGAGTGGTTTGCCATTTCCTTCTCCAGCTCATTTGACAGATAAGGAAACTGAGGCAAACAGGGTTAAGTGACTTGCCCAGGGTCACACAGCTGGTAAGTATCTGAGGCCAGATTTGAACTCACAATGATGAGTCTCCCTGACTCCCGGTCCAACACTCCATCCACTGCACCACCAATGGCACATGGTAAACACTTTATAAATGTTTGTTGTATGATTTCTAAAGTCATCTAATCTATGTAATCCATTTGCTCAGAATTTTAATTATTTGATAGTAAAGAAGTTGAAGTTTTGTTTGGTTTTTTTAAGGAAAAATATTTCTGTGTTCACATTAAACTAGCCCAGTCATGAGGCAGCTAGGTGGCCCCTGGCCTGGAGTCAGGAAGACTCTTCTTCCTGAGTTCAAATCTGGCCTTGGTGACCTTGGCTAAGCGACCTTGGGCAAGTCACTTAACTCTGTTTGCCTTGTTTCCTTATCTGTAAAATGAGCTGGAGAAGGAAATGGCAAACCACTCCAGTATCTTAGCCAAGAAAACCCCAAATGGGGTCACGAAGAGTCAAACACAACTGAAAAACAACTAAACAATATCAAGCCCAGTCATGAGGGGATCCTGGCAGGAGCATTGGGTGGGGAGGGCATCTAACATAGGATCGGGCTCCCCCTGGTCATGACTGCATGACTCAGATGGCTCCAAACCAAAAACCAAATTTAACAGAAGAGCACTGTCCAAGGCCGTGCCCCTGCTGCCCCACAAGGGGACCTGCTGGCCACCAGGGACCTTTCCCCAGCCCTCCCCTCCCGGGCCAGGAAACTCACCAGCAGATGAGTCCGGCTACCACAGAGGTCCAGGTGATGCAGGAAGACTTGGGTTGCTTGGTCTGGACCTCCTCATCTTGGTTACAGCAGCACAAGCAAATCAGGTAGACGGTGATGAAGATCAAGTTCAGGCCCAAGCAGACACCGGCCACAAGCCCCAGTAACAGCAGCGACTGAAAAAGTCACAACAACCACTCATGTTTTAGAGAGGGGCATCAAGGCTTGCCAAGCAGGTAGGCAGGTGATGCGCGTATTGTTATATCCATTTTACAGGAGAAAACCAGGCTCAGAAAACATAGTGGGGGTGGGGGGAGGGAAGAGTCTTAATGGGGGTCCATGAACTTATTGATAACTATTTCAATTCAATTGATTCCCTTTGTAACTCTACATATTTTGTCTTATTCATTGATTATTAACAGTTCATCCTGAATATAGTTTGTTTGTACAGGGTCGTTGGCATATTGTCCCCTCCATTAGACTGTGAGCCCTTTGAAAGCATGGACTGTCTAGTGCCCTTCTCTGTAGCCCCAACTGCTTAGCACAGTAATCGGGAACATAGTAGGTACTTAATAAATGTTTAATGACTGACTGAGAAGGGGTGCCTAGGCTTCACCAGATTGCCAGAGGGATTCATAAAAAAAAGTTAAGAACCCTTGAGGTATGGTGACAGAAAGTCAGTCAACAAGCATTTATTAAGCATCTACTATGTACCAGTTACTGTGCTAGGTGCTAAGGTACAAAGAAAGGCAAAGACAATTCTTACCCTTTCCCAACATTTGTACCTTAAGAATCAAATTCTTTAACTGTTCATTAGTTTTGTTTAACACCATTGTATACTAAATTTTTAAGGAGAATTTAAGGAATGAACAAAAATAATGCATGGCTAAGGGAAGAATCTGTAGGTAATAAGGAATTTGTGAGTCTTTTTACAAAAGACAATTTAAATATGTTGACAACTTCAAGGAACTCACATTCTCATGGGAGAGACAACATGCAAATGAGTAGGCACTTACAAGATACATACATAGCCAATGTCAAAGCTAGAACTCAAACCCAGGTCTTCTCACTTCTCAAACTAGAGCTCTTTCCACCAGGACTGGAGTTAAACTGCCAGAACACCAGGGGGAGGGGAACAATTATTTATTAAGAGTCTACTATGTGCCAGGCACTGTGCTATGCATTTTACAAATACTATCATTTGATCCAGGAAACACAGAGGCCCTTTTATCCTTGGGAGAGGTGGAGAGAAGAAAGGAACCAAACTGTGAACATATATTTGACAAACATTTATTGAGTACCTATTGTGTGCAGAGAATTGTGCTAGGCATTGAGGTTGATATAAAAAAAAATACCAGATACGATAGTCTCTGTCCCTTAGGAATTTATGGTATATAATTGAGGAAGCCAGTTACAGACAGGAAACATTTAAACCCACTACACATAGTCACTATATGTGTGATACAGTAAGTGATAAAAGAGTTTAGAGAATGGGAAAATCAACGTGAGCTGGAACAGTCAGAGAAGGTCTCCTGGAGGAAGTAGGGGATGAGCTGGTCCTTGAATAAGTGATCACTGGATAAGAGGAAGGGAGGGTTGACTCTTCTCTCACAGAATCCAGTCATTTATTAAGCACATACTCTGTCACTAAGTCCTGTGACCTAAAACTCTTAGGCTGTGGGCTGACACAGAAATAGCAGAAGGCAGTCCTTGATCCCATGGGGATCATGGTCCAGCTGAGAGGCATGGGACAGTATCATAGCATGTAATTCAATAAGCATTTATTGGGTGACTGCTACAGACCTGACACTCTGGTAGGCAATGGGGATGCAGAAATCATCAAGTCTAACTCCATTTTACAGAGGAGGAAACTGAGGCCCAGAGAAAGGAATTGACTTGCTTTTTAATTTTTTTTATTTTTTTAACAACTCTAGTACTTTATTTTTCTCCAATTACATATAAAAACAATTTTTAACATTCATTTAAAAAATATTTGAGGTCTAAATTCTCTCCCTCCCTCCTTAAACTCTTCATTGAGAAGGCAAGCAATTTGATACAGGTTATACATGTATACTCATGCAACATATATTTCCATATTAGTCATACTGTGAAAGAAAACACAGACAAAAAAAACCCACAGAAAAATAAAGTAAAAAAAAAAGTATGTATGCTTCAACCTGCATTCAGACTCCATCAGTTCCTTCCGTAGAAGTGGATAGTATTTTTCATCATAAGTCCTTCAGAGTTGTGTTGGATCTTTGTATTGCTACTGGGAACAGCCAAGTCACTCACAGGTGATCACTGTACAATGTCACTGTTGCTGTGTACACTGTTGGCCTGGTTCTGCTCATTTCACTTTACATCAGTCCATGGAGTCATTAGCTTCTACTTGCCCAATTCTAATTTTGAAGGAATTTTTTTCTTCAGTAGCTTTTGTGCCTCTTTTTCCATTTGGCTAATTCTGTTTTTTAAGGAGTTTTCTTCAATGGATTTTTGTACATCTTTTTTCCATTTTGCCAGTTCTGCTTTTCAAGGCATTCTTTGTTTTCATTGGATTTTCATGCCTCTTTTACCATTTGGCCTATTCTGTTTTTAAAGGTGTTAGTTTCTCCAGTATTTTCTTGTGTATCCTCCTTTACCATGTTGCCCATTTTTTTCATGATTTTTTTTTTGCATCACTCTCATTTCTTTTCCCAGTTTTTCCTCTACCACACCTATTTGATTTTTAAAATCCTTTTTGAGCGCTTCCAGGAATTCTTTTTTGGGCCTGAGATCAATTCACAGTTTTCTTTGAGGATTTAGATATAGCTGTTTTGACATTGTTGTTTTCTTCCGAGTTTGTTTTAATCTTCTCTGTCCCCATAGTAACTTTATACAGGCAGGTTCTTTGTTGTTGTTGTTTGCTCATTTTTCTAGCTTATTTCTTGATTTTTAACTTTATGTTAAAGTTGGGTTTCTGTTTCGGAGGTGGAGGGGGCACTGTCCCAAGCATCGGGTTTTTCATGCTGCTGTTTTCAGAGCTAGCTGTGGGGTCTGTAAGTTTTCAGTTCTTCCAAAGTGGTATGATCTAGGGAAAGGTGTGGTCACTGCTCTCCTGGCCTATGCTCCAGTTTGTGAGTGACCACAAACACTCTTTTCTACCCTAGACCTGTGACCAGAGTCCCTGCTCCTACTAGTACTCTTCTTCACCACGGGACTGAAATCTGGAATGACGTATAAGTAATGCAATAGAGTCCTGCCCTCAGTGCCAGAAAAGAGTGCCCTGTAACCTCCTTTTGACAAGTTGTTTGACCCACTTAGTATCTATGGGCTGAGAGCTCCAGAAGCCAACTCTACTAGCCTGCTACTAGTTTGCCAGGGCTTCACCCACATTCCCCTCCTAACCCAGTGAGATAAACTTTTCCTGCTGACCTTCTAAGTTGTATTGGGCTGGAAAATTGTTTCACCTTGTCCTTGTGTTAGTTCTGCCCCTTAATTTGTTTTGAAGCATTATTTTAAAGTTTTCTGGAAAGAAATTGGGAGAGCTCAAGTGAGTGCCACCATCTTGGCATGCTGTTCCCCCCACCCCTCCTGTACTGACTTGCTTGAAGTCAAGTCCTACATCTCGTTAGTGGCAGAAGAGGAACTAGAATTTAAGTATTCTAATTTCTATTACTATGTTTTAACTTTTTTAAAAAAATTATTTTATTTTTATTTCACAGAACAAGCATTTCCATAACACAGTACAATAAAAAAGATGATTGCACATGAAACTGCAAATCTACCATGGACGACTTGCTGTTCTCTCCAAATATACAACAAAGTTATCAAGTAAATTTCTTTTTTTTTCTTCCCTCTATCCCACCTCCCTGTTCTCTCTCATATATATGTATATCTGTATGTGTGTATATGTATATGCATGTATGTATGTATATAGGTATACATAGGTATATATACCTATATATGTATATGTGTGTGTGTGTATAGGGATGTGTGTATATGTATATATATACGTAAAATTATTCTATACATATTTCTGTTTATCAGTTTTTTCTCTAGATGCAGATAGTGTCTTTCTTCATATGTCCTTTACTTTTGATTTATGTATTCATAATAGTCAAAACGACTTAGTTGCTCAAAGTTGTTCTTAAAATAATCCTGCTGTTACTGTCTACTGTATAAAATTCTTTTGCTCTGCTCACTTTGTTCTTCATCATCCCTGTTCCTATCTGTTACAGTATATGGAACCCTGACACAGCAACTTAGAAGCCAATGAAGTCACCAAGAAGGAAGAACAGAACATATCAGCAGTTATAGGAATTCTTGCCCTCCTGGACAGGAGGCATGGCCTGGTTATCTCAGCAACAGGTCACTTCCTCTGGCCTGCTCAACCCCTAAATACTCTATCTAGGGTGTTACTATGATGAGGACCCCTGAATAAGTCCTCATTCTCAACTACTGCCTCCAGCCACCTCCAATCCCTAACACTACCAGATGGCCACCATCTGGCTTGAGGTTTAAGTACATGCCAGCCAGAATTGGACTAGTCTCCAATTGGCCACTTGGATCTGGGGGCTCACCATATGCCCAGCAACACTCCTTGGTCCAACAACACCTGCAGCCTTCCATTCTGTGGCCTGAGCTAGTCCAGCTTCAGGGAAGAATGTATACAGGGAGAAAGGCAGATCAGATGCTGCTCAATAAGCCAATAATATATACTGCATTTCTATCATGGGCATATTTTGTCTGCTGGGAATTGTATTGTTGGGGCCAGACAAAGAGAGCCAGCAGATACTTTCCTTATTCTCAGTGATCTCCCAGTTTAATGGGGGAAGGAAAATGGGCACACTTAAGGGGAAAAAAAAAACAAAAACACTAAACCAAAAACAAACAACAAATAACAAAAATATCAGTCAGCCTCTCTCCACTCTAAATGACCTGACTTCTCTGAAAAGCTCAAAAGGTCAGTAGAATCCCATCAGAAACTCCTCCCCCACAGAAGGCATCCTCAACCACAAATGAAACCACTGCAATCTCTCTACCCTTATCCTTTCTCCTAAATCAGGGGATCTATGAGTTTGGATGAGGGGAAAAAATGTTATCTCTCTAGATAGTCTTGCCTCCTCATTCATAACTTGGAGGCTGCAGTAACTCTTAGACAATATTCTAGCAGAACAGCTGAAGGACAATCCTCTGG